TGAGAGAGAGAGAGAGAGAGAGAGACAGACAGACAGTGTGAGCAAGGGAGGGGCAAAGAGAGAGGGGGACAGAGAATCCGAAGCAGGCTCCAGGCTCTGAGCTGTCAGCACAGAGCCCGATGCAGGGCTCGAACTCACAAACCGTGAGATCATGACCCGAGCCAAACCCAGACACTCAACCGACTGAGCCACCCAGGCGCCCCTGTGTTTGATTTTTAAATGGAGGATCTACTGTGCTCCAGACACACAAGTTCCTCTATGCATCTGCACTATGGGGCCCCAGACATGGAAGCCCAGGAGATGCACTTGGCAATCAGCTTCTAAGGACACCCTGGATCCAGGCCTGGTTTCAGTCTCCTGGTGTCTCTTCCTGCTTGTCTTCACATTCCAGGACTCGGAATTCTTATTGCCAACGTGGTCACCCAGGACGCCAACTCAAGATTTTCCAAAGGAAGAAACGTTCCAAGGCCAGAGGGCTTAGCTCCCAGCACGGCCCCCACAGACCCGGCACCAGAGGCAAAAAAACAAAAACAAAAACACCATTCATTTCGGCCAGCCCCCATACTGTTGTTCCACGAGGCAATTTCCATCTATGCGAAAACAGAAGACGTTTTGGTGTACATTAGGTTAAATTTTAGTCGTCGATTATCGCATTTTGGAATTCAGTATTAACATGTTATGGTATTTTGTAATGACAGGCGACAATGCGTTGCACAACTAGACACTTGGGAACATTAAAGTCATAAGGAAAAATACATTTCAAATACGTGGATTTATCCTCCATTCCTACTTTCCCCTTCTTTTTTGGACATAACCGAGTATCATCTTTCAGCACTGTCCTGCTGCAGCCAGAGATTCGGTCTTTGAACTTCTTTTAAGCCTCTACCTTGAACATGATGCTTATCTTGTCAAATGTATATGTCAAACTGTCAAAATACGCAAGTGGTGAAGCCCTTTTACCCAGTCAATACCTCATAGTAACTTATAAACATGACTGTACTGCCCAGAAACAGGAGAATGTGGTCCAACCACTCAAGGAGTCAAAATGCTTATTAGTTTATGAATTAGACCACCTAGACTTTGTTTTTCTGATTATGGAAAGGGAAGAAAGTGAGCTGTGAGCTTTGAGTTTAGACAGACCTGTGTTTAAATAATTCAGGGCATGACCTTAGAAAACTCGCATGCTCTCAACTTTAATAACTGGCCCTCAGACACGAGAAAGGAATACTAATACTACTAACCTTATTGGATCAAGTTAACAAGCATCAGGTGCTTGGCAAAGACCAGCCATATCTTCAAACTCACCAAAGCCCAGGCCAAGTGGTCCACATCTGCAGCTGGACAGTGTCCCTAACAGGTCCCCCAGACCCCTCTTGCCTCTTTAATCCAGTCCCCATGCTGCAGCCAACACAAGATTTCAACATGCAAATCAGGTTCTATGCTTCTGGCTTAAAACCACTTATTAGTTTTAAGAGTAATCTTAAATGAGACTCAACTCCCTAGTATAACCTCCTGGCCCCACAGGATCCTGTCCAGCTTCCCTCTGGGATCTGGCTTCAAGACCAGTTTCTTTGGGCCACTCTCCGGCATCGGATACCCCGAAACTCGTGACTTCTATGGACATACCACTTTCTTACATTTGCTGAAAAACAATGATCCCAATTAAGGTGCTTGGGGAATCACCTGGGATTTTCTGTGAAGTCTCAGGGCTACTTCCTGTGCCCAGCTCAGGTGGCCAGAAGCTACCTACTTTTGGTCCCCAGACACTCAACCTATTTGCCACCCCCCCCCCCCCACACACACACACAAGGACACTAACTTTTTCTGTCTTGTAGGTTTTAACCCTGCTCCAGCTTCATTGTTCCCTAAAGTCTGGCTGCTGGTGGCACAAGCCCTCTCTCCTTACTGTTCGCATCCTTACACATCCTTACAGGGCAACTGACGTGTTAAAAACAAAAACAAAAATCTCATAAGACAAGTTTGCCTACTCCCTCCCCTGGTTTCTGAGTGTGTGCATAAGCAAGCCTCTTAGGCCCCTATCCTCTGCCCCTGGGAGGGCTGATCTCCCTCTAACTCCACTGTTTGCTCTTAGGCCAGAAGACAGAATCACCACCACAAATAGACTCCTTTCAGGGCAGTAACTGTCATTTCTGAGGGCAGAGTTCCTAGGCAAGGGTTCCTTTAAGACGGTTAATCATTTCTAGTAAAGGCAAATGAAAACCTACTACTGAAATCATATGGAGCCACACAATTTAAAGCCATGACTGCAAAGGACATTAAGACACTACTATGTTCTGGGTGTTTTGCACTGTCATCTCAGTCTTCACAACTAGAGCAATGGGAATATTTCTAGGCCCATCAGATGAAACACAGAATTAGTTACAAGCTCATGGCTGCTAAGGGACGGAACTTAGATTTCCACCTCGGTCTGATTGTAAACCAGTGGTTTTCAAACTATACCCCCAACAAGGTTCCAAAGAGGCAGCTGGATATTCAAGAAGTATTTTGTGAAGAGAACTGAATTTTTATTAGAGACTGAAATGAAGAAGAACCTACTCAAATGTACTGTACATGAACTTTTACAGTTCACACCCCATCACCCACCCCCGTGCTGCCAGAGTAATAGGGTTTTGGAGGGGTGGGTCAAGTCTCAGAACAAAACCTATATTCTTCCTTCTCGTGGAAGATTTAAGATGAAATTACTTTAACATCTATAAATAGGACTCCATTAAATCCTATTTTCCCTTAATATCACAAAAAATAAATGCAATACCAAATGAACTTGGAAGATGACCCTTCAGTTCTCATCTATCTAAATGGATCTAAGTTAGGGGCGCCTGGGTGGCGCAGTTGGTTAAGTGTCCGACTTCAGCCAGGTCACGATCTTGCGGTCCGTGAGTTCGAGCCTGGCGTCGGGCTCTGGGCTGATGGCTCAGAGCCTGGAGCCTGTTTCCGATTCTGTGTCTCCCTCTCTCTCTGCCCCTCGCCCCTTCATGCTCTGTCTCTCTCTGTCCCAAAAATAAATAAACGTTGAAAAAAAAATTTAAAAAAAAATAAAAAATAAAAAAATAAATGGATCTAAGTTAAAATCATCTAAATCTAAATTCAGTTTTGTGTTTATCAAAAACAGCTTCATTGTCCTGATCTACTCTAAGTAAATATAAACAAGGATGTTTATAAAAATCACGTATAATGAAACATCATTTCTTTTATATATCGGAGTTCTGTATAAAACTGGAAAGAAAGAATTCCATCGTTTAAGTGAAAAGAAACCTCTGAAATCCTCAACACCACAATGATTTTTAAATAACTCATGGTAAAGCAGAGAGATGGTCTCACATTAGGACCAACCGGTAAGTAGGGGAAAAGGTGAAAGAAATCTTGAGTCTACTTTCTCACTCAATGCAAGAACCCCTTCTATAATGTCCTGAACAGGTAGGAAGCAGCTTCTGCTTTGGCTTTGCCTATTCATGGCAAGAGTAAACCTTTCAAGAAAGTTCCTCACCCTGAACCAATACCGGACTTCCTATAAACTCTGACCCTATTATAGTCTGCCTCTGAAGATGCACAGGAAACAGTTTACATCCTTCAAGTAAAGGAAGCCACTGATCATATGGTCTCCATCCAAAGGTATCCCGCAAGTACAAAAACCAAAATTCTGATGCCAATGAAAAACTATCATGAAATACTACCTCTCTTCAAGGAGGTAAATAAATCTTACTCTACCAGCCCAGACACAGGCAAACTATTATCTATGGGCTGAATCTGGCCCACTGCCTGTTTTTAAAAATAAAAGTTTAGTGGGTGATGGGCACTGAGGAGGGCACCTGCTGGGATGAGCACTGGGTGTTGTATGGAAACCAATTTGACAATAAATTTCATATTAAAAATAAGTAGATAAATAAATAAAACTTTATTGGATCACAGCCACATCCAACTATTTATGCGTTATCTCTGGCTGTTTTAGTGCTACCATAGCAGAGTTGAATAGTGAAGACACAGACTGTATAGCTTGCAAAGCCTAAAATATTTATTAGCTGGCCCTTACCAGAAAAAGGTTGTCCACACTGTTCTACCCCACCAACCAGAGCTTTCCCCACAAGCGAAGAACTGTAGTATAGCTGATGTTATAGGCTATAGATAGTTCAATAGATACAGTTATCCCTGTGGTACCTATGATGCCCAAGTACCTACCAAACAATAAGTCTCAATAAGCCTTTGAGTGAGGAATGTTAGATAGGAGGGGAGAGGTTGGTAGGAAAGAAGCATAGGATTTTTCTTCTCCCAAAACTAATGTGACATGTATCCTTGAAGGAATCTTTTTTAAATGTTCATTTTTGAGGCCCAGCAGGGAGCTGGGGGGGGGGGGAGGGGGGGGAGGTGTGGGTGGGCAGAGGATCTAAAGCAGTCTCCTGACAGAGGCAAGCAAGCCGGATGCGGGGCTCAAACTCACTAACCACACGATCATGACCCAAGCCAAAGTGGGACATTCAACTGACTGAGCCCCCCAGGTGTTCCCTTCATGGAATATTTTAAAACATAACAGAACCTTTTCTTATTGTAGCTCAGTATCTGAATACAGGGCTGTGCACCTGCATTCAAAACCAGGATGTGAAGTCACTGCTCCATTTCAAGCAAATGGACACTGAATAAAATGTTGTTTTGTAAAAGACCATGTTAATTTTGAATACCTAGGAAAAAGCTACCCACACCCACCCTTAGAATATTCATTTGTTGCTGCTGTTTTAATATCACTCACCGCAATATAAAAAGCAATTGGGATAAATAACCTTTATTAAGCAATTGAGAAAAACTCAGCACTCTGGATTCAGGAAATGGAAGAGAATTGCTTTAAAACAGACGAGATGAGCACAGAGTGTTCCATGTAAGTGATGCATCACTAAATTCTACTCCTGAAACCACTATTATACTGTCTGTTAACTAACTAGAAGTAAAAATTTGAAACCAAGAAAAGTAGCATAAAACAGAGAGAATCAAACCATCAATGAGCCTGTGAGATCTTGATGCTTCATCTCCATCATTTCTTCATAATCATCCATTTTTGTTGTTTTCAAGATCTTTGAATAAAGAATTAAAATATGCATCACTTCCTACACAACTCTAATTTTGACTTTTTTAGCAACTTGTTTCATTACACTGGTGTCCTCCTATGGAACAAAGAATCTAATTTGAAGAGTTTTAAAATTAGCAACTGAAGATCTATTCTTAACATAGTAAAATTTTTCTTTTGACTCCAAGTCAGGTTTTTTTTTTCAACAATTTAAGAAGAATATTAACCTCACATAATTATGATAAAACTATAAGCACTAAGGAATGGAAAATATTCACCTGAGTGCTTCCAAAGATAACCAAAAGAGTTAGGCGTTCTCCCCAAATCAAGACGTATTTGGGGAAAACTAAAATATCACTAGCACAAGAATCTATTGGCTCCACATTGAGGCTACAGAAAAATGTCAGCCTGAGTCCACAGAAATAGAGAAAAGTTCCACCTCAGGCTCAAGAGGCGATCCTGCCGACAGGCCATGGTCAGGTCAGTAGGAGCCCTGAAAAACTCAGGAAATGCAAAGGAAACCCAGGAATGGTTAAACAATCCAATGTAAATGACCAAGTCTTTAAAACACACATCTTGAAAACCCAACAAATCACAGGGAAATTTGTTACACTAAGAAATTCTATTGATGAACTATGTAGATGTACAATGTTTTTATACAAAACAGAACAGAAATTCAACAATCCTATGAGGTTTTCTACACTCAGCACAGGGACTTGAAAAAAGAACCAGCAGCAAAAGAAAAGGGGGAGGAGAAGGGAGAAGAAAGGGGGGAGGAGAAGAAAGGGGGGAGGAGAAGAAAGGGGGGAGGAGAAGAAAGGGGGGAGGAGAAGAAAGGGGGGAGGAGAAGAAAGGGGGGAGGAGAAGGAGAGGAGAAGGAAAGGAAAAGGAAGAAAAAATTCAAGATGAAACAAAACAGCAACAGCATCCAAAAAATCAGCCCAGTCCTCTGTCCTCTACGACACACTGCCTCTCCGGAAACATTTCTAAGCGAGGGAGGGATAGAAGAGATGGCCAAGCAAGCACAAGCTAGGGGGAACAGTGTTGCCAAGCAGAAAGTCAAACTGTTTGGAATTCTCCCCTTTTGTTGGAATCAAACCAGAATTGTAGAGAAGGACCTCAGAAAATATGCCTGCTAAGTTGAAAGGGAGTGGTCTCCTTTAGACAAGTTCTGGTAGCAGCTCGGAGCAGAGCTGCAGAGAGGTGCGGGCCACCGTGGGTCACGCCAGGACCTTTCACCTCTGCAAATCATAAATAGCTGCCACTTACAGAAGTACCAAGTGGCTGCAATCTCTTTAACCCAGTTACTCTGTACTACGTTCATTCGGCGGAGGCAAGAAGAGTTTTGAGAAGCTGGCATTGGAGAAAAACGAACGTAACCAGACTAGAAGTTTTTCAGCGGTGGGCCGCGCAAAGTCCTTGCTTCGTATACAAAGTCCCAGCCCAATAACAGCAGAGCAGTTCTTTGACAGTACTTTAACAGTGCTAGAGAGACTAGGCCCTCTTTTCAGTGCTTCCTATATTCTAACTCAACTCTGATGTAGGTACTGCGATTGTGCCCATTCTGTAGATGAAGAACCTGAGGCACAGAGACTGCACAGCAGGTAAGTGGCAACCATAACGTGAATGCAGGCAGTGTGGCTCCAAGGTCCGTGCCCTTAAGCATCCTCCGTGCAGCCTCTCGGCCCAACCACAGACTTCGCAGCTGTCTGGTGTACCTGTGCCAGGCTCTGGAAATACAAGCAGGCCCACAACCCAGCCCTGCACCGTGCCACACCGTGCTTTGCTCTGTGACACATACGGGAACGGAGGCCTGAGGCAGGGCCACGGCCAGCCCACTAGCACCTCTGTGCCAGTGCACAATGGGTACCTCAGCCGGCTGAGCAGGAGCCGGATCCTAGCCACGCCTGCTCCCTTGGCCAAGCACTTCTGCAGTGCCCACTATGTGGAACTGTCTAAGGCGGCGCCAAGAGCAGCCCTGGAAGGAGACTCAGTTCAGTTTTCATAGTGAAGGGCTGGAAGAAGGAAAGACTGAAAGGAGACAGGAGAGAAAAGGGCCATTCTCCAACCAAAAACTATTTCTGCAAATAGTTCTGACCGTTTTAAATAGGTACAAGTCAGGATCACACAGGCCATATCAGCTTTATTAACAAAACATCCAGATTACTAAGCAGCAGTCCCAGACACAGCACAGGCACACTAACCTCTCGGGCTGCCTTAAGAAAAACTCCCGGCCCCGCAAGCCGCCTGAGACTAACTTTCAGTCCAGTTCAAAGGCCCCAGCCTGGGCCATCTTCAACAACTTCTGAACCCCATGCTCAAACCACCAGTTCTCCGCCCTGGGAGTCTGGTGCCGACAGGGACCCCAACCCTGGGAGTCCTCCAGGGAGATGTGGCTTGTGTGACAGATACAACGACCGAGTCTCGAGAGTCCAGTCTCCTCCCTTGGAAGCTCAACACCTCTTAGAGAAGAGCAGGCAGAGAGTCTTAAGAATCAAGTAATTGAGCTATGGGTTTCTTCGTCTAAACTAGGAGCCCCTCCACAGCACAACTAGCTTGGATTTCACCTTCCCCGAACTCCCTAACCAGAGAACTGCCAGAGCTAGTTTCGGGGAGGAAAGCTCCTATCTGATTCCATCATCTTTCACACTACAGTTACCCTCACCCCACACTGCTCCGTGCCTTCTCTCCAACAAGCCAGGCTCACGCCAGTCCCTCCTCCCCAGTCTTTCCAGAGAGCCTTCTCCCGTGGTACATTTCCTTAAGTTGATTAACCTTTCTAGGTCTCAGTTTTAACATCTGAAAAACAAAGCTGATGTAAGTATCTACCTCACAGGGCCCTTAGAAAGCATCACCTTCACGGTTGGCAGGCACTTAGTGAAATAAGTCAGAGAAAGGTAACTATGGCATGAGTTCACTTATGCGGATGCAAAAAAGGCAAAAACAAGCTCATGGATACATAGACGAGAATGGTGGTTGCCAGACGCAGGGTTTGGAAGGTGGCAAAATGGGTCAAAGGAGTCAAAAGATAAAAACTTTGTTATAAAAAGTCCTAGGGTGCCCAGGTGGCTCAGTCGGTTAAGTGTCTGACTTTGGCTCAGGTCATGATCTCACGGTTCGCGAGTTTGAGCCCCACATTGTACTCTGTGCTGACAGCTCAGAGCCTGGAGCCTCTTTCAGATTCTGTGTATCTGTATCTCTCTCATTCTCTCTGAACAATAAACATTAAAAAAAAAAAAAAAAGTCCTAGGGATGAATGTACAGCATGGTGACTTTAGTTGAGGACACTATTGCATATTTGAAAGATTGTAGATCTAAGATGTTATCACAAGAAAAAAAATGTAACTATATGGTGAAGAATATTAACTAGACTTATTTTGGTTTCATTTTGCAGTTTATACGAATATCATTGTGCTGTACACCTGTTACGAACATAAGGTTATATGCCAATTATACTTCAATTAAAAAAAAAAACCACACCTGTTGATATTGGCAGGTATTTTCTGCTAGGACGGGGAGTAAGAGGAAGCCACGGAGGAGGGGTGTCTGGCACTGTTCTAGAGTACATTATTTCGGTTGATCCTCACCAAACCCAAGGAGTTATTCTTACTATCCTCCACTTTGCAAATGGAATAAAGCGAAGCACTGAGAAGGAACTTGCCAAAGATCCAGTGAAGGTGGAGTCAGGCAGCTTACCCGGCAGTTAAAATGATAGAATGAGCAGCACTAAACCATGAAACTCCCCTCCACCTGCAAGAGCTTTGTGAAATGTCCCGTCCACTGTGTGGCCCAACTCGATTCCTGGGAGATCCTCGAGGATCTCCAGACCAGTCCTACTCCTCAAGACTCAGGGTGAGGAGTTCTAGCATCTAGCTCTACTACTCCTTGCCAAGGACATTGAGGGAGCTTCACCTCATTCACTGAGCATTTCGGAATCTTGATCAGCCTCTCACTCGGAGCCCCGCCACGTTCCTGATGACCTGGCCTTCCGTGAGCATGCTCCATCCAACACCACGGCTGTCTTTCTTCTTCCCCAACCCTTCCATCTTTTCTGCTGCTGACCAACCACAGCCACACAAGAGCTTCCTCTCCGGGAACAGCTCTACCTCTGTGATCTTAAGTTTGTAGGCCCTTTTGTCGGACCACATTGAACTCCCAATGAAACATATTATTCAGCCTCAAGATACCAGTTCCTTGCACATCCTTTACTTCCTGTTTGCCCTCCTTTCAGTAACTCAGCTCACGGTCTATGGCATCAACCATTGTCTTGCCATGGTCCTAAATTCCTCTATCCCGTTATCCACCCATTGACTCACGCTGGAAAAATCCTAAACCTTAATCTAAGTGCCTACCTCTTGAAACCTACACCCAAACAGCTATAGAAAATGGAAGAAAAAAAATTCCACCACCCTACATATTTGGGTCATTCAGTCATGGCTTTCGACGTCAACAGTCTGCAGCAACCAACACTTTGGGATCCCTGGTCATCACTCCGCCTCATACTTCACTGAAGTTTCAACCCCACTCAGCTCAAACCCCTACCCCACCATATTTCAGTCACCATCAGCAAAGTGACCTTCTCTTTTACTTCACCAGCATTTAGCTGTCTCAAGTTGGGTCCCATGTAAAGAGGAAAGCCACTCCTCCAGTTCCGGCTCTGGTGTCTGCCCTTTCACGGTACCATTCCTTGACAGACTTAACTGCAGCAGTGTCCTCTTCTGACCTTCCACTAGGCCCGAGTGTGCCCTGGCCCAGGTCAACCCTGATGCAAATCCAGCGGCCACTCTTCAGTCCTTATTTCCATGATCTCTGGGCAATACTGAACACCACTGGCCACTTCTTCCTTCTGGAAAGTCTCCCTTCTCAGCCTGACTCCACTCCCCAGGCTTCCTTTCAATCTTCCAGTCCTCTCTTAGCCTCTTTCTCTGGCTCCTTTCCTTTTTTCTGATCCCACACAAAAAAGGGAATGCCCGCTATGTGCCAGCATTAACTGAGGCACTGGGCTTC